AGAGAGGAGTGAAGAAAAGGAAAAAACTGAGGAGGAAATATTTGTGGCTGTAGATTAAAACTAAATCCTGTGTATCAAGCTGGGTGGGTCTGGTCTGAGAACAGTGCAATCTGAAACCAGAGTTACACCCTTTTAAGCCCCTTGAAGACAGTGGGCTTAGGAGGGTGTAACACTGACTCTGGTTAGGACAACACTGTTAGAGAGCGACCCTAAGATCTACTCAGGTCTGTTCAGTTGGGCTGACTCTGAGGAATGTGTCATTAGGAGTGCCCTGTTTAGATCTTAGAGGCTGTAACATGGGATGGGTATTAATCGTGGATCTCTTTTGTTTTGGGGAGGTACAAGAGATGCTGACGCTCTAACTCCAATCAAATCCCCTGGATCTACGTATCTTTGCCCTGATGCAATACGTGCTTTCAGTTCACAGCCTGGCAGGAAAGAAACAGGATTTTTCATTAACCGCTTGACTGTTTCGGAATGTAACAATTAAAAAAAAAGTCTGTAGAAGAAAAGATTCATCAACTGGAGGCACGGACACTGAGAAGCAATTAACTTGATCCACTGATTAATGCACAGAAACCAGGAAGGAATTAACTGATTTGAGAAGTATATTCGGTTGATGAACTTGATCCTTCTGTTGCATGCTGGGGAAAGGGGGGGGGGAAATCGATGTAGCAGGAATTCTTTGCCCGGGAAGAAAATTAATTCAGAGTTTGGAGGACTTCTGTTTCCAATCGAAGGTCTGTTTTGCTCAGAGGTTGAAAGGGATCTTCTTACAGGATCTGAAGGAATAATAGATCGGAATCAGCAGGAGACGGGCCCATTGCTGCAGGAGGAGTAAACGGATCAAGGGAACCCAGTAGTAAAGGTAAAAACTTCCCCCCTGGCTGAGCTCAGAATGACATGGTTAGACTGAAACAAGTGATCAGAAAACTGGAAATTGGAACAGATCTATAAAGGGAAATTGGAACAGCTATAACTATGTTTGTTTGTTTGGTTTATCACTGGTACAGACTACTGAATATGCCCATAATGATTTCTTTCATATGTTACCACTCTGGCCTGGGAAATGCTTCCTCATAGTCTTTTCTCATCTGCTCGCCTCTTGTTAATGTCTGCCTGAAGGAGCCGTGTGGAGAGGGGTGGAATGGTGTGGGTGGGAGAGCATCGCCTGCCAGTGTGGTGCCTTGCGACTGACCTTACCAGCACTGCAGGGGAAAAGGTCACGGCAAAACAGCTTCTGTGTCTCCACAGTGGGATATTAAGACGGCTCAGAGCTTGCACTCTGCCCGGCTCATTTCAGTGTGGGAGGAAAATTTTCCCGCCATTTCCCTCGGGATGCCTCAGAGAGATGGAAGGGCTGGTTTGAGGGCAGAGAGCAAGACCATGTCAGCTGTTCCTGAGAGGAAATATTTAGCTGGAGCGTCCTTTTCAAAACCAGCATCTTCTACGCTGCGTAGTGCAAGGAAATATGGGATAGTTCTTATCTCCAACCGTCTCATCCTTTGCCGTCCCCAAATATGGGATAGTTCTTACCCCTGACCTGCCTGCCCCTCAAGGAGGAAACCAAGAGCTAAAACTTGGTTCCAGGATTATAATTTTTAATTTTTTTTACTTCATTTGTACCCCACCTTTCTCCCTAATGGGGACTCCTCCATTTTATCCTCACGACAACCCTGTGAGGTAGATTACGCTTGAGAGTGTGTGACTGGCCCAAGTTCACCCAGCGAGGTTCCTTGACACAAGTGGGGGCCTCCCAGGTACTGGTCCAACACTGTTAACAGTGTGAACACCATATTTTTTTTTTAGTATATGTGCTGCCGAAGTGAGTATACCATGCACCTGCTGATAAGGGAAAAACTCTGGGCAAGTCCCTGTTCTCTCCCCCCACCCCATGCTATAACGACAGTGATGTTTGTCTCTAATTCTCCCTCCCCACCCAGCTTTAAATTTCACCTGTCCATTTTAGGCAAGGAAAGAGAGGGAGGTCCATGACACTGTCTTGTACTGGATCAGACCATTGGTCTATCATGGTTAGTCTTGCTGCCTAAACTGGTAGCAGCTGCTTCAGGTCTCAGCCTTTCACATCACCTACTCCTCCCAATTTATCTTGTAACTGGAGACACCGGGGATTGAACCTGGGACTTCCTGCATGTGCTGCACCACTGTCACTGCCCCTCACAGGGGATGATGTACTTAACCCCCTTCTGTAAGCTTTTGACAAATCCCCGTGAATGCACCGGGGGATATTAGCCCTTCCTTAAGCAAGAATAAGAAGAAACACTTCTTGACTGGGAGCTTGGCGAAGGAAGGAAATTGACAGTCTGTTTTGTTGTCTAGGAATAATGCGCCAGGGACACCTTGGCTAATTGGTTTATTGTGGCGTAAGCTTTGGAAGCTGACTGCTTACTAACCTTATCAGGCATACCTGACTGGGCAGTTGCCTGGGAAGGCTAAGCCTGGAATGAACCAATTAGGGCCTTCTCATGGGAATATTCCGTTCCCACTGGGAGGTACCTCAGCTGGCTGCTTGAGCTCCACTAATGCTAGCCGTCTGCAGCCGTGTCCCCTTCTCCCATAATTACAGGAGCAAGGCTAAGCTGTCTGTCAGATGATAGTTATTTTTGTTTAAGAACCCCACAGAACTAGAGAGGTGCATGTGTGAATTCTAGAGGAGCAGAGCTCATAGCCCTCTGAGGGGAAATGCATGGGAAGACAGGAGAAGGATTTAAAATGGAACTTGTGGTGATGGCGCAGTTGGTGTAGTGGTTAAGTGCGCGGACTCTAATCCGGGAGAACTGGGTTTGATTCCCCACTCCTCCACTTGCACCTGCTGGATGACCTTGGGCAGGGCTCCTTTTGTAGAAAAAGCCCAGCAGGAACTCATTAGCATAATAGGCCACACCCAACAGCAGGAACTCATTAGCATATTGGGCCACACCCCTGACAGCACAGCTCATTAGCACATTAGGCCGCACCCCCATGTTACCAGAAGTGTGGTCATCAGCCACGCCCACCTTTTGCTCCTTATTCTGTTTACCTTGTTTGTTGTCAAGACCCAGGGCTTTTTTTGTAGCAGGAGCTCCTTTGCATGTTTGGCCACACACCCCTAATGTAGCCAATCCTAATGAGTTTCTGCTGTTGGGTGTGGCCTATTATGCTAATGAGTTCCTGCTGGGCGCTGCCAACTTGGGAGCCAGCCGGAACTCCATTCCTGTGCGTTCCTGCCCCAAAATAGCCCTGACCTTGGGCAAGCCGTAGTTCTGGAAAGAGCTCTCTCAGCCCCACCTACCTCACAGGGTGTCTGTTGTGGGGAGGGGGAGGGAAAGGAGTTTGTAAGCCGCTGAGACTCTGAGTGACGGGTGGGGTATAAATCCAATCTCTTCTTCTATTCAGGAGTAGGGTTGCCAGCTTTGAGTTTGAGAAATACCTGGAGATTTGGGGGGTGGAGCCTGAGGAGAGCAGGGTTTGAGGAGGGGAGGGACTTTAATGGGGTACAATGCCACAGAGTCCACCTTCCAAAGTGGCCATTTTCTCCAGGTGAACTGATCTCTGTTGCCTGGACACGAATTGTAATCCCAGGAGATCTCTGGCCACCACCTGGAGGCTGGCAAACCCTATCCAGGAGGTTTCTGCAAAATTTCTGCAGTAACCAAGGACAGCATAGTCACTATCCAGTAGGTTCCTGCAACACTTATGCAAGAACCAAGGAATGAGCAATACTTGTTGTGCTTTTTGGTGGCAGCTCTATCAGCAAATCTACAGTGGTCCAAACGGGTTGCCTTCCTTGCCTCCAGGAATGGAGGGCACTTGCTGGGTTGATAATAGTTGATAATGCAGTCTTTGGTAGGAGAAGTACTGTGTCCGGAAAGACCGTTGGGCTTTGGAGAACCTTGGCACTCTTTTGCCACCTTGTTTCGACAAACCCTCGCCATCAGTCTTGTGAAGTCAGCGCATGTTAGGGGGCACAGAAAATTGCTTTTAAAAGGCCACTTTCCTAATAGGCTGTTCAGCAAGTTGCTAAATAGTCCTTGACCGGTCACTTGCAGCAAGTGAGGATTGTTTCTAGGCCACCAGGCCTTGAAGCCTTTTTAAAATTAAAAGTTTACTCCTCCTCTCCCCAGCCCCACTTAGGCCACAAAAGCCCAAACTAGATTTTAGAGGCAAGTCGGCTAGAATCTCTATGTGCCCAGCTGATAACTGCTCAGAACGTATCTGCAAGGACTCTCTTCTGAAACTTCCAACCACAGAGCTTGATCTACACATAAACCAACCCAGCATTGTGCAACTACAGCCCTTCTGCCAGCACAATCTGTCCCCTCCTCGACCCACTGCGCTGGGTGGGAGAGCAGATATGGGCACGCTGGCCCCGTCACCTACCTCTGCGCGGTTGCCAAGCCCGCACAGCGCAAACGCGCAGAAGTGGTGCACATGTGATCTCACAAAAGGCGGGAGTTGGGTCCAGGGGAGGGTTTCCTGGCCTGGCTACAAGTGGGAGATGAGGAGGCAGGGACACGGAGGGGGCAGCTGTCGACAGCCACAGTTTTCAGCACGGACAGTTGTCACTTCTAGGTTTTCCCCGGAAGTGATGTGATGCTGTCAGCTCTGAGAAGCAGGAAATAGCTGGGGGGTGGGGGAATCCCCCGTCTCCATTGGGGAGGGGGGACAGCCACCCTCGGCCAGTGCTCTTGTGCCCACTGTCCCTCTGTGGGTGGTGAATCAACGCAGGAACAGGTCGTCTGCACAAGGCTTAGGTGTCTGGAACGCTGAATTCCACACAAAGTATGTAACTTGAGCAGATTTGTTTAATGAAGAAGAAGAAGA